TTGGAGTCTGATGTATCAGAGGACACAGGTGTGAGTGATGAGGAGGGGTTGGCATTGGAATTGGAGCCTGCTCTAAGGAGAGATGCAGATGTGAGCCAGGAGGATGAGAGTGTGTCGGAGACATGATCATCTCCAGAACCTTCCACTTCATTTATACCTCAGGTGTCAGCAGTTGATCCACAGAATGTGCCAGAGGCTTCGAGTGATGACGAGACTGACGGATGTTGGCTTGATGTTAGGACTAGAAGAAGATTGAAACGTCAATCACAATTTGAAAAGAAACATCAAGCCAGAGATTAATTAGAGAGACTGACACACCCCTTCAGGGGATAAAAGGAAGCGTGCTAGCTCTTAATCCTTGTTCGAAGCAAAGTGTCTTTTGGTTTGGAGAATGCATCTGACTCTCTCGGCTGCAGCGTCTTCATTTATGGTTAGCTTGAACTTGCCAGACAGATTCCAGGAAGACTGCCAAGGACTGTGTAAACAGAAGCAGTTAACTGCCGTGTCTGGGTTTGTCTGTTTGAGCATTTGAACTTTGGAACTTTGGATTCTCACCTGTGGATACAGGTGGGACAGAACATTTTTGCTTCGAACCAGCTACTCCATCTTATAACCAAGATGGACCAAACACAACTAAAGCAACTGGTAGAGCAGCAGCAGCAACAGATTGACCAACTTTTGCAGAATAACCAGGTCTTACAACATCAGGTAACTCAGCTGGTTAATCATGTTACGCAGTTGCAGGCTCCTGTTGCTCCCCCAGTATCTGTGCCGGATAAATTCTCGGGACAGACTGATATGTTCCCGGCGTTTATGGGACAGTGCCAACTATTCATGTCCTTATGGCCCGAAGATTTTCCTGATGGGTGGGGTAAGGTGGGTTTTATTATTAGCTAAGGTGGGGTTTATTATTAGCCTCTTGTCAGGTCCGGCTGCTAGATGAGCTACTCCTCTACTGGTACAAGATAGCCCTTTATTAAATTACTACCAGGGTTTCCAGCAACAATTACGTGCCATGTATGAGAACCCCATAAAGAGTCAAACTGTGGCCAGACGTTTGAAGGACATTTGTCAGGGGAAACGCCCTTTGCAAGAGTTTATTGCAGAGTTTCGTCTGCTCTGCATGGACTCTGCTTGGAATGAGGCAGCCCATATGGACGCATTTCAAGACGGATTGGCAGACGAAATCCAAGATGAGCTGGTGCATGTGGAGCCAGCTCTAACCCTGGATGCTGGTAATACAATGTTTGCGCATTGACGCCCGGCTTCAAAGGCGCAAGACCAGATGCTTAGTTCCGGAACCGCCCTCCCACTCATGGCCGCAACCTCCAGTACAACCTGCACCCTTGGTATCCCATAATACCGTGACCAGGACTGAGGAGCCGATGGAGTTGGGTGCACTCCGCCCTCAGTTGATGGCGCAAGAACCCCCCGAAGGTTCCAGGGAGGCTTGTGCCTTTATTGTGGGGGGCCAGGACATTTTGCCAGTTCTTGTAAATGGAGGGGAACACGAAGACCAGTGCCAGAATCTAATCCTGGGCCGTCAGGAAACGGGGTAGGCCCGACCTCGGGGAAACCCTAGGTCGGGCATGTATCACACCACGACCCAAAGTAGCTGAGGTGAACTTTGGTCCTCCCTGACATTTACTGTTGGACACGCAGGTTTTCCTCCAGTCCCGGAAGGAGGGGATTCCGGCGGTTGCGTTGGTGGACTCAGGGGCTACTACTAGTTTTATGGACCGGGCCTTCGCAACTCACTTTGATGTTCCTTTGGTTGCTGTGGAACCACCCATCAAGGTGGAAACCGTTGATGGGCGTGAGCTAAGGTCTGGGCCCATTCGTTTTGCCACCCAGCCGTTGCGTTTGCTTATTGGAGACCACGAGGAGGCAATTAGTTTTTATATCACCTCGGACCTCCATCTCCCTTTGGTTCTTGGCATGTCCTGGCTACGATTGCACGATCCTTTGGTGGCTTGGGCGCAGAACGTCATTTCCTTCCCAAGTCTCTATCTGCGCTGGCCAGGACATCGCCGTCCCCGCTGTTTCCATACCACCGGAGCTATCGGACTTCTCCGACGTTTTCAGTGAGAAGGAGGCAGATCAGTTACCACTGCATCAAGCCTATGACTGTCCTGTGGACCTTCTACCTGATGCCCCACTGCCCAAGGGTCGTCTATATTCCATGTCTGAGCCTGAATTGGCTGCTCTTTGAGATTTTCTGGATAAGAACTTGGCCCAGGGATTTATCAGACCATCGTCGTCTCCTCTTTCTGCTCCCATCCTTTTTGTGAAAAAGAAGATGGGGGAGTTGCACTTATGCTGTGACTACCACAGGTTAAACGCCATCACGGTGAGAAATAGTTATCCCTTGCCGCTCATTCCAGAGTTGATGGAGTGGTTGCCACTATTTTCACCAAGCTCGATCTTCGAGGGACCTACAACCTGGTGTGGATGCGCAAGGGGGACGAGTAGAAGATGGCGTTTGGCACCTGATACGGACATTTTGAATAGACCATAATGCCATTTGGGTTGACCAATGCCCCCACGGTTTTCCAGCATTTAATGAATGACATTTTACGGGACATGCTTGATCGGTTCGTGGTGGTGTACCTGAAGGACATTTTGATCTAATCTCAGTCCACAGATAGTCACCTTCGTCAAGTCTGTCAGGTATTACAACATCTTCGGGAGCATAAACTCTATGCGAAGCTGGAGAAATGTCTCTTTTTCCAGACTTCCATAGAGTTCTTGGGGCATATCATCTCTCCCGAGGGCATTGCCATAGACCCGAGGAAAGTAGAGGCCTTGTGTAGTTGGGAACCCCCTCGTCGAATAAAGGATGTGCAACGTCTCTTGGGGTTCGCTAATTACTACAGGACTTTCATCCCCGATTTTGCCAAGCTGACGGATCCCATCACCCAGCTCCTTCACAAGAAGGTCCCGTTCCAGTGGGGGCCCCCACAGCAACAGGCTTTTGAGGCTCTAAAGAAAGCCTTTGTTGCTGAACCTATATTGAGGCATCCTGATCCGAATCATCCATTTGTGGTCGAGACAGATGCCTCTAACGTAGCTATTGGGGCGGTGTTGTTACAAGCCCCAATGGATGGCGCACCTCTTTTTCCATGCGCATATTATTCAAGGAAGCTCACAACTTCTGAGTGCAATTATACCATTTGGGAGAAGGAGTTGCTGACCATCAAGGCTGCGTTTGAGACCTGGCGACATCATCTGGAGGGGGCTCGGCACAAGGTGGAGGTTCGGATGGATCACCGTAACCTGGAACATTTATCCACTGCCAAGAAGTTGAACCAATGACAGATCCGGTGGTCATTGTTCTTTGCTAGGTTCAACTTTTCAGTCACATACGTTCCCAGTGGACAAAATCGGAGAGCGGATGCCCTGTCTCGTAAACCCGAGTACATTGGTCCCGAGGACCCTCTTCCTCCACATACGGTGCTGCCACCGGAATCTTTGGCCATTATTCAGCACCCGGTGGACTCAATGTCATGACAATCCTGCTGCTGGCCATTTTGGCTTCTTTAAAACTCTTCACCTGGTCACACGGACTTTTTGGTGGCCTCGAGTCCGACATGACGTCTTTTCTTACGTCGCCTCTTGTATTATGTGTCGACAAGCGAAGGCTGCGTCAGGTGCACCTCCTGGACTTCTTCAACCACTACTGACTCCGAACCAACCCTGGGGGGCAATCTCTATGGACTTTTTAACACCCTTGCCCTCGTCGTCGGGTTATACGACGGTACTTGTGGTGGTTGACATGCTCACCAAGATGGCCCATTTCATCCTGTGTAGAAAGTTACCATCGGCTCGTGTTACTGCCCGGCTTTTCATACAACACGTATTCCGTTTACATGGCTTACCGCACAGAGTTGTTTCAGATCGCAGTGTTCAGTTCACCACTCAATTCTGCTCAATTCTCACCCAATATCTTGAAAGAGCCAGTCGACATCGCCCAGGGCCTCCGGGATGAGCAGGCGCTCTGCCTGGCCCGCCGGATGGTGTTCCTGGCCAAGGCAGCGGCGGCCGCCGCCGAGAACATGCTCAAGCTGCACGGGCTCTTCATCCGGTACGACACGCTGCTGGTGGAGATCAACCCGCTGGCAGAGGACGCGGCGGGGACGGTGGTATGCGTGGACGCCAAGATGAACTTCGACGACAACTCGGCCTTCCATCAGGCGGCCGTCTTCGGGTGGCATGATTGGTTGCAGGTGGACGCCAAGGAGCGGGAGGTGTCCGATGCCGGGCTGAACTACATCGCGTTGGAGGGGGACATCGGCTGCTTGGTCAACGGGGCGGGCTTGGCCATGGCCACCATGGACCTCATCCAGCTCCATGGTGGCATGCTGGCCAACTTACTGGACGTTGGCGGAGGGGCGACGGTGGAGCAGGTGAAGGAGGCCTTCAAGCTGATCACCTTGGACACGGGGGTCAAGTCCATCCTGGTCAATATCTTTGGAGGCTTCATGCACTGCGACACCATCGCTGAAGGGATCGTGCTGGCGGCCACCGAGCTGGAGCTGAAGATCCCGGTGGTGGTCCGGTTGCAGGGCACCCGGGTCGACCGGGCAAAGGCGTTGATAGCTGAGACCAAGCTGGATATCTTGCCCTGTGACGACCTGGACCAGGCAGCCAAAGTGGCTGTGGGCCTCTCCAAAATTGTGACGTTGGCCAAGGAAGCCCACCTGGAGGTGAGCTTCCAGTGGAGGATCTGAGGAAGCTTCTCTGCAAAGGGTGGCTTCCCCTCTTCACCGTGGTTGAGGACCAGATCTTCCATCTCCACCATGGTTGAAGACCAGCTCTCACCAGGTCCTCCATCTCTACCATGGTTGAGGACCAGCTCTCAGCAGATCTTCCATCTCTACCATGGTTGATGACCAGCTCTCACCAGGTCTTCCATCTCTACCATGGTTGAGGACCAGCTCTCACCAGATCTTTCATGTCCACCATGGTTGATGACCAGCTCTCACCAGATGTTCCATGTCCACCATGGCTGAGGAGCAGATCTTCCTTCTCCACCATGGCTGAAGACCAGCTCTCACCATCTCTTCCACCTCTACCATGGTTGAGGACCAGCTCTCAGCAGATCTTCCTTCTCCGCCATGGTTGATGACCAGCTCTCACCAGCTCTTCCATGTCCACCATGGCTGAGTACCAGATCTTCTTCTGTCCTCCAGTTTGTCGAGGAGAAAGGAGGTCCACTGGAGACGGGTGGGATGGGATGGCTTCTTCTCAATAAAACCCTGGTTTTATTGGTGGTGGTTGGTCTCATGAGTCCTGGCTTGGCATGTCCTGGACACTTGAGGTCCAGGAGGCATCTGGGCAGCTTTAGAAGGCCTCAAGAAGGACCGAGCTTCTTTGGCCAGCATTAAACCACCATTCCTCTCCTCCTCCTCCTCTTCTTCATCTTCTTCTCCTCCCTTACAGAATAACAGAGCGGAAAGGGACCCTGGAGGTCATCTAGTCCAACTGCCTGCCCAAGCAGAAGGCCCTAACAGAATGACAGTCAATCAGTCAATCAGCCTATTCATCAGCCAAACAAGCAGCTCATGTGTGTTTGTATATGTGTGTATGTCTATATATATATGTGTGTGTGTGTGTATGTATGTGTGTAAATATACATTTATATGTGTATATGTGTGTGTATGTGTGTATATATACAAGTATATCTTTATATGTGTGTGTATGTGTGTATATATACATGTATGTGTGTATATACATGTATATGTGTGTATGTGCGTGTATGTGTGTATATATACATGTATATGTGTATGTGTGTGTGTTGTGGCTCCGGATCTGGATTCAGCTCCTGTGGCTGATATGAGTTCAAGTGAGGAGGACATGGCAGAAAAATATGAGCCGGCATGGCTCAGTGATGGGAATAGTAACCAGGATGAGGAGATGGATGTGACA